CTATCTCTTGGACTTAAATTTTGTGTTCCTCGCACGAAATTTACGGATTTAGCCATCCATGCTGAGTTCGAAAAGTTGTCACTTACCGCAACATCCGATGAAGAACGGAGTTGGTTTAAAGCTGAGATGGTAGATATAGCTCACCAGTTTTTAAACAACGATCCCAAAGAGAGGAAAGCATTTTAATTCCCAGTATTTCAAAGCCTTCAGAGAGCTACGGGAAAACCCTAATATAATAATTACCAAACCTGATAAAGGTTGTAGAGTCGTCATTATAAACAAAAGTGACTACAAATCCAAAATGTTGTCTATTCTTTATGATAAAAGCAAATTCAGCCGTAATCCCTCCTCAGAAGATATTCAGTTGTTGCCGGGCACAGTGACAGCTAGTCTAGTGAAGCTTCATGGTCTAAATGCTATAAGTAAAGATACATTTAACTCTTTAAAGCCATTAGAATTTAAATTCCCGAATATGTATGGTTTAGCGAAAACCCATACGCCCGATATTCCTCTACGTCCTATATTGTCAATATGCAAATCCCCAACGCATAAACTTGCCAAATGATTAGTAGAATTGTTGCATCCAATCAAAACACAACTCTGTAAGTATGTATTAAAAGATACATTTGAATCGGTTAACTTTCTTGATGAAATTAATATTATGAATAAGAATATGTACTCCCGTTCCCTATATCTTATTTAAGGAATTTATTACTTCTATGTACTAACAATGTTAGGTTTACATTTTAAGGCGGTTGTTTCCGCCAAGTTGATGGTGTTACTATGGAAAGTCCGTAAGGGTCCTTTTTAAGAGATATTTATATGTCGTACATTGAAAATTTATCGGAGGATCTAATCGAAAGTGTGCCACTGTATAGAAGGTATGTAGATGATATTGTAATCATCGGTGACAAGTCTTGTTCTGTCACCTCAATTTTAAATCGAACGAATCAAGTTGAAAATAGCATATCACTTATATCTGTAGAAGAGGAAGATAATTGTTTATCTTTCGTAGACATTTTGCTTAGTCTACGGCTTGAGGGATCTATAAAACGATCTATGTACAGAAAACCTACCTGGACAGGACAGTATCTTAATTGGCAAAGTTTCTGCCCTGTTCGGCACAAAAGAGCCTTAGTAAGGTGCCTCTTCAGTAGAATCCAACGAATATGCACTGAAGACACACTTGATGAAGAAGAAAGAAAGTTGACACAAACTCTGGTTGATAACAATTATCCAAACAAGTTCATCAGGCGATATAAAGTAGTCAGAACACCAAGACCCACTCTCCAACTCCCCCCTGAAAAAGACGTGTATATCAAGCTACCCTATATGGGGCATCATAGCAGCTTGATAACGACTTTTTGTTCAGCTAATATCATCATAATTGAGAATGTGAAGCCAATATATCCATCTAAGCCCTTCGAACATGCAAAAAATAATGTCACATCCTACTGTATTTACTAATTTGAATGAACGTGTGGACACATATACACAGGGAGGACTCATCTATCTCTACAAGTAAGAACTTCACAGCATATTCCTAAATGGCTCCAGAAGCAAACAGAATCTTCAGAACCCATTAATGGTAAGAACAGGAGACCTAGCTCCGCTATTGCGAAACATATTACAAAGGAAACAGGACATAAAATTAACAGTTACACACATTTTTAAACCTATCTATAAAACGTGTTTGGGAGACGGCGTATCCTAAAGTTTGTGGAAGCCCTATCAATTAGAAAGTTTAAACCACCTTTATGCACTCAAGGGAACAATTCGTCATTACATTAAACTTCCCTTGGTAAACTTTGTTTCGATACTAGCCAGGGTAGATGTACTATCTACCTCTGTTATTTGATTTAGTGGTCTTTATTGTTATTTTGACCTTCAATATATCCTATTAACTTGAACTAAGTCTATTTTCTCACCTCTTAACTCTTCAACAATTTCATATATATCGATTCCTATGACAAGGCCGTGAGTGATGGATCAGATTGTTCGAAATGCGTTGAGCAAATACATTACACACACGATTCAGACAATTTACGTCTTCTTCTTATTATTATTTCGTCATTGTTTCACCTGATATACTGTTAGTTTTCTTAGGATATGTGCGAATTGAAAATCATTGTTGAGTATTCATCTAGATGAGGAGTGTTCAATCTATCTCTTGTTACTCAGCCCTATATGGTTTATATATATGTTAAATTTATTTAGTTGAGTGTTTTATGAAATCTCTTTGTATTTCAATGTTGTTATCAAATCTAGCTGCTTATAATCGTATTCACAATCTGCCACAATAACTCCGACTTATATTAAAAGTCAATCTGAACGAAGAATATTACTTCCAATAATTTCTCTTTAGGTTCTTACAATTAAAAAAATATAATATAATATTTCTTACGGTTGATCACGATTGATCAGTTAGAGAACCATTGAAAACCAGGAGTACTGGACAGCTGCTGTTTCATCCTAGTTTGGAATCATCGCAGTACGCACCCATGGTTTCGAACCCAGGACTTCCGGTTACAAGCAAGCTCGATACCATTCACTGGCCCGATTCAATGGCTCGTGAATTCTAACTTCTACCAATTCGTGATTTAGCGCGACCCCAACCATTGTCGTTGGTGGGACATCCATCCACACACGTGACATCTAATTGGACCTCACTGGTCACGACTTCTCACTAGAACTCAGGAAACTCCAACCTGTAGCAGTCACTAGCGAGCATCAGATTAACTTTCTATAGTTTGGTTTGTAAGGATTAGTTATGTTTTACGGTTGATCACGGATTGATATCAGTTAGAGAACCATTGAAAACCAGGGAGTACTGGACAGCTGCTGTTTCATCCTAGTTTGGGAATCATCGGCAGTACGCACCCACTGGGTTTCGAACCCAGGACCTTCCGGTTACAAGGCAAGCTCGTATACCATTCAGCCACTGGACCCGATTCAATGGCTCGTGAATTCTAACTTCTACAATTCGTGATTTAGCGCGACCCCAACCATTGTCGTGGTGGGACATCCATCCACACACGTGACATCTAATTGGACCTCACTGGTCACGACTTCTCACTAGAACTCAGGAAACTCCAACTGTAGCACACTAGCGAGCATCAGATTAACTTTCTATAGTTTGGTTTGTAAGGATTAGTTATTACGGTTGATCACGGTTGATATCAGTTAGAGAACCATTGAAACCAGGGAGTACTGGACAGCGCTGTTTTCCTAGTTTGGGAATCATCGGCAGTACGCACCCACTGGGTTTCGAACCAGGACCTTCCGGTTACAAGGCAAGCTCGTATATTCAGCCACTGGCCCGATTCAATGGCTCGTGAATTCTAACTTCTACCAATTCGTGATTTAGCCGACCAACCTTGTCGTGGTGGGAATCCATCCACACACGTGAATCTAATGGACCTCACTGGTCACGACTTCTCACTAGAACTCAGGAAACTCAACCTGTAGCAGTCACTAGCGAGCATCAGATTAACTTTCTATAGTTTGGTTGTAAGGATTAGTTATGTTTTAATATAATATTTGTTGTCGTTACAATAATGGCCAGTTATGTGGCGGATACATTTTTCACGTAGGGTAACAGATTAGTTATTGGGTGTCAAAATAAATAGTCGTATTTGTGTGACACATGTTCTAAGGTGAAATCGATTACAAAATATTGTGAAATGGGAGACAATGGTGGTGATTAGTCCTAATAGATTCGTAGAAAATTGGCAAGTAAGTAAGTTCAAGGTTATAAAAGGTGCCAGGTGAGTCAGTGGCCAGTAAAAAGTTGTATGAATTAAAGAGAAGATAGTAAGACTGCAATGAAAAGTTCATAATGAAATAACGAATCTGTGAAATGAAACAGGTGAAGGCATATATTGAGAAAAGAGATAATATCACTAATAATAAGTCCGGATAGTATTGAGGGAATGTTTGCTCAAAGGATATAAATTATGACGAATCATAATAATTGTAATAATAAGCAAAGAAATAAAGAAAAAACCAATAGAATTAAGGGGAAGAAGTACTCTTGGTGAGGAGAGGAATCATCGATCCAAGTTTCGCCCAGGTAGGAACAACGCCTGGACGTGTTCTTTTTGCATACAAAGTTCCAGTTTAGTCGATCTTATTGCAACAGCCTCAGCTGTGTGTAGCAGACGTAAGCGAACTATATGTGATAACGACTTCGGAATTCGGTATATAACTCTGAAAGCTGTGTTGGCGGTTCGTCTAAAGGTTCGAGAATATTTACCAGCTTGGTTCAGCAAGAGGGAAATTAAGTGCATAAAAAGCTCGATTCTGTCACATTTGGTCGACACTGGACATCGCATCGATGCAACTAACCCAATTAGACAAAATAGAAATATAATTTACAAAATACCTTGCAATGACTGTGAGTTAAGTCAGCTCCACATAGGTCAGTGAAACCAGTAGATCGGGGTAGTCTGACTGTAAGAAAGTAAGAATTTAGCGAAGCACGGAATGATTGACCTCACAAAGGTAGGTAATCTACACAAAAACTCAGTGGTTGTACTACATGCACAAACACACAACCACACAATAGGATGGGACAGAGTTACAAATCTAAAAACTAATAAAGATGGAGAGAGAGAGGTTGATTCCTGAATATAAGAATATAACCTGGGTACTGTGGTGGAGTATAATTCACTTATGCAGAAAATTTATTTTGATAAAGTCTCAGTGTTGTATACAGCAATCAATGCGTCGGTGGCACAGTGATTAGTTAGAACTCTCACCGACCATGCACATGGTCCGAGGTTCGATCCCCTGCCGACGAAGCACACCTGATATCTATGGTTGGCCTGAAAAATTTAGGCTACCGATATCTATGCTAAAAATTCCATACTTGTACCAAAAATATACTGTGGAATCAAGCTGTAATCGAAAATTTGAAAAAAATAATGAATAATAAAAATGAAGTTCTCTAATCTCTTCTTTCTTTCAAAATATATCTATTTTTTTAATTTTGTTCTTAGGAGATAGTTTCATTCGGCATTGTGAACACGATTACATCATTCTTCTCTTGTTCTGTCCATTCGGGTAGTCTTTCTCGAAGTATGGTATTAGAAGGGACAAAAACACGAACTCCAGTGAGTAAAGTAATCTGTATAACTTTCACATACTTTCTGTACGATTTTAGTGAGTGTAAAGGTGAAGTGCATTAACTTGACACGGAAACACGTTTATTGTGATTGTTGGTCCTTTTTTTTAAGGCCTTGATAAGCGCTCGCATAATTCCTACTTTGAACAAACGTGTTCTGACCACTTGGTTACACATCAAGTGTAATAATAATAATAATAATAATCTGCTTTATTCCAAAACAATACTTATTATGCAGTGTGGAATTCTCGGCATTTGGCACATTAGTGCATCGTTATTTACTCACACCAGCAACATCAAAGGCGAAATATATTACAGGGTATAGGTAACCAAAATTGTTAACGACACCCTTTTTGTCATTAGCAATAACAACAAAGTTAAAAATGTACAAAAAGTATAAATAATGATAATAATAATAATAATAATAATAATAATATAAATAGCTAAAATTGAAAGATTATTAAAATAGTGCCATCATAAATTAAAAATAGTAGAAGAGATGAAAGAGCCACTTATTTTGCTAATTACATAGTAAGTTGTAAGTGTCACGCTTAATATTTTCTCTATCACATAAAACACGTGAGGGCCTATTAGAGTGTTGATGAGTTTCTGTACTTAGTTGTACGAGCGACTATATACTCTTTTACAATGAATTCTAGTCCTGCCTGATGAGATGCAAAGGGGTGGGGAGAGCTGCGATGAATAGAAGGGGTGAACGAGTCAGATAATATGGATTTTGGACCATTTCTCACATGAGTTGTTCATATGTCTGTTGAGAATAGTAGTAACAAGGTGACTTAGTGAGGGCACACTACTTGCCCTATTGACTGCCTTTAATACCTTTCACAGTACGATAGTCCAGAAAAGACTAAGGGTGGGCATCAGTAAAGAAGAATAAGTAAGATGTACGATCTAGAAAGTGGTAAAAGTTGGGGTTGAGTGATACCTGTCTGCGTTAACTTGTTAATGTACAGGGTTAGACGGAACATTTTCTTAGAGATCGACAAGATATGAGATTACCGAGAAAGGTCAGAGGAGAGAACTATCCCAAGGTATTCTACGCTTTACTTAGTTTTTTATTTACTTGCCCTCTACACTACAAGCATCTTATGAACGAACAAGCTAGTGTGTACCACGTTTATGCCTGAAGGTGAAGTTGACTGTGACATGTGCAGGGATTTAACGTAAGACCATTAAGCTTGGACCACTGGCTGGCTGATATCTGACAAAAAGGTATTCAGTTTGGAACAGTCAGATGGCGACATAACTGGCATTGAGACAGTGTATTTCACGAAGTTGACTTCTCCCAAAAGAGGCAAGTGATGCAAGAAGGAAAAAAAAAAGACAAGGAGAGAGAACAGTCACTTAAGGGACTCCAGCTTCATTAAGCAAGGCATAGAAAGACTTTAATTTATACACAGGATATTGTATTCTGTCAGATAAATAAGAATACAACTAGTTAACAGCCAAGGACACGGTTTGTATCAAGGAGAGCTTATTTAGCAAAAGACATCTGGGTACAGAGTTAAAAGCGGATGTTTAGTAAAGGAGGGTATGTTGAACATATTTAGTTCCTTTACATCTAAACAAGAAACAATATAACAATGTAGGGCAGCTGTAGCAACATCTAAATTACATCTGCCATGTTTATATGCAAACTATGTAGGTTCATTAAAAAATTTTCAAAGAAGGTTCAAGGTTGAGTTAAAATCAGTCCTATTGACCAGAATCTGATGATCGAAAATAATCAATAAGCCTAAGCATGCAGCACTGGGGAATGCCATTATGCATTCCAATTTAATATTAAGCGCTGGATGAAATTAGCTAACGGAATGCTCTGAATGTGAGAGTTCACTTGACCCTGACATGGAATAAAGGCCGTATGACATATCGGTGGTTATCTGATACTACTATTCAGTCTTATGCCGAAAATAAGAATATGCCAAAAGTCGATGATTTCCTCGCCGGCTCATTTGATAAATGTTACCAGATGGTGTGGAAATTCACCGCAAGTTAGGCATTTGATGAAGTGTATTAATAGTGTGGATCAAGGAAGTAAACACCCCTGAACAATTGGACTGAGTTTTTTTAGGGTTTTTAGGCAAACTGTAGGCACCATTTAAGGCGCCTGACTCTTGAAGAAGAGCCATTACATAGTTGAACTCAAGACAGGGGAAATGTGGACGGCAACATTCTGAGAAGGATAATTAAGTCCTAATTAATGATAGGTAGTCATAGGAGAAAGTGGCATCAAGAACGGGAGTGAAATTGGTTCCCATCATTGTGGTGTAAAATCCTCTGGAGTTAAAAAGTAAGGAGCATTAACACCTATGAACACACGCTTACATTGTCCTTCCTTTTTCTCCCTCTCATTTCAGTTATCAGGCATATTCAGCTCAGTTATGATTGTATTTGTACTACTGTTTCTTGGACCGTATTTTCAGGCTACTCCATCGGTGAGTTCAAAAAATTACGAAAAATCCCTTAATTCTGTCATAAAGAGTAATATTTCGACATATATATGGGGAGGATTTTAGCTATGTGTCCAGGAAGATAGAGTATCATTCTAAGAGAAAGCTAGTAGCTAGAATATCAGTTAAATAATTCCTTTAAGAGTGAAATGACACTACAGTTCACTTTAATCCCACCGTGGTCTTCTTTCTTCATTACTGGACAACTATTTGGTCCTAGTTCAGGACTTTTTAGCAGTACTCGTTGAGGATCGAAAGTAGGAAGTTTAGGATATAAGGTGAGTCTGTCGATCATTCAGCCCATGGATTTTAACTTCTATTCATTCGCAGTATTCATAGCACCATCGTTAGGTAATATCGTCGACTTGGTATACCCTACTGGTCAGGACTTCTTTTTAGAACTCCGGAAGACTTTCTTCTACAGTCAGTTACTAGTAAGCATTGGATTAGTTTGTAAGTGTCGATTTGCAAATGTTCGAATTCATGGGCCGTTGAACCGTCAACGGGCTTTCCTTGTGATGAGAGTGCCATGGATTCCGTCCCCAGTAGGGTCACATTTGCGTACAAAGAGCATAGAGATTAGTAGGTGGTCATCTTTATTTCGTGTTCTGTACTTGTCACCTGCTAGGCAGTAAACTAATGTGAATGATGACATGTTAAGTGTGTCAGTCCGTATAACTTATCATTTCACCCAAAAACCTAGTTAGTGTTAAAAAAGACAGTTATAAAAATGGTAAAATGGCACTCAGTGTAAACATACTATGTTCAAACTTAAGGCTTTAACATAACGCTCAACTTCCTGAGAAAGCTAGAGAAGCTAGAATTGACTATGCAATTTCATGTGCCATTTAAATCTTTGAATATATTGGTGATCACGCTATATCGTGAATTGGCAGAAGTTGGAATTCATAGGCTGGTCATTGGATTGGGTCCCAGTGGCTTAATGCTCTACGAACTCTTATTCTAATTGGAAGGTCATAGGTTCGAATCTTGGTGGGTGCGTACTGTGAAGAGTCCCAAACTAGGACGAAACAGCTGTCCAGTACTCCCAAGTTTTCCAATGGTTCTCTAACCGATGTCAGTTCATGATGAAATCCTGTAGCCAATCAATCAAATCCCTACAAACCAATACTTGAATATATTTGAATACACATTGAATCTGGTGGTACAGCAGCGCCAAATGAAAAAATAAATAATTAAACACAGTATATTGTTTAATTGGTGGATGGTGACTAGCAGTGGAATCCAGAATGCGCATTTCGTCCTATTTGGGACTGCAGCACAAATGTTGACGCCACTCTTGTAAAAGGTTTGGAAGGAAACAAATGTACTCACTGATTGGCGAAAGGCTACCTTGTCAAACTACCAAAGAAGGTGCGATTCAGGCCTTTTCAAAAACTGACGTGGAATCATGCTGTTCTCCATGCCAAGTAGGATACTAATTTGCGTCATTCTAGAGAGAATAAAAGATGCACTGGATACAGAACTCCACCCTGTGCAAGCTGGATTCATGGTCAGCAGACAGTGTGCGGATCGAATTGCAGCGGTACGAAGAATCATCGAACAGAGCACAGAATGTCGGTCAAATCTCCCCTTCAAAATCATCGACTTAGACAACTTCGATGACGAAGTAATTTGGAAACTATTTCAGCTCATTCCACAGCTATACGACGATTCCACATGTCAAGCGATCCACAACGGAGAACTCAGTGAAGCGTTTGAAATGAAGACAGGAGGTAGAAAAGACTGTCGAATATCACCAAAAATGATATTCCTAATTATGGTGGAGTAGATTATGCATCAGACTGTGAGGAGCGAGAAATCAGGAGTACATTGGACAGATAAGAGAACTCTAGAAGATCTGGATTCCACGGATGATTTATGCTTAATCTCGCACAAACTTGAAGACCTGCAGGCAAACACCGACAAGCTGACAGAAGAAGCAACAAAGACAGGACATCATAGAGAAGACGAAGGTTATGAAGGTAACCAATCACTATCACTGGGATAAATTTGAATGGCGTCAATCCCTCCACTTATCTAGACAGCATCGTCTCAAGCAGAGACAATCGGAACGGTTGGGGACGTCAAAACCAGATTCGGAAAGACAGTGTAGACCTTCATCCTTTTGAAATCAATTAGGAAATTCGCAACACTTAGCAAAAAGAACAAAATTCAAACTTCCAACACCAGTGTTAGGATGATTCTTTCATATGAACCGGGAACTTGGTGTGTCACAAAAAGCATTTTCAACAGGCTACTACAGAAATCCATCACTAATTACCTTTGCGGGCTTCATACTTCAGACCAGATAACCTATCAGAAAAGATCAGTATCAAGGAACGAGGCTTGAAGTCCACCAAAAACCTACTGCCGAACAAATAGGCTGAAGGAAATAGAGATGATTGAACTCATGATGAGGCGACCACTGAGTTACATCACAGCCCTAGAGAGTGGATGGTGAATTGGAAACGACGTGTTGGAAGTAGTCAGTGCGAGAGTGAAATGGAGGACATCCTGTGACGAAGAGATGAGAGTCTCTGGGTAGTTGGTTGAGCCAAACTAGAAACGTCGGTTGTGTACACGATGAAGCTCCTCTGTGTATTTGACTCATAACCTAAGGGAATAGTAATACAATGATAATTAATACATTAATACGACATTGTTGTTTGCTGTTGTATACATCACCCTTTAATCAGCTTGCCACCAGAAACACCACTTCAGGGATAGTATTTTTCTTTTTTTGACATGAACGGTTCCAAATTATTCATATCAGTCAGTTGCATATTATTTACCTCATTTCTTTGCTTGGAACGTAGGGTTTCAATGCTGAGATTTTGAAATGCCAGTAGCAGTAGCGTTTATTTTTGGATGGATGAGGTGCCTAGCCTTAGATCCAACCTTCCCTCTTAACCTGTCATATTATTACCGGCTAATGGAGATGAAGAAGTGAGTTTGTAGGGGAGGGGGGAGGGTATCAAACCCCGGACCACCCGCCTGGTTGGCCAGGCAGCCACCACTGAACAATGCATCCAGGGATTAGTTATCTTTATTTATACATTTATGTAATAGTTTTGAGCAACAAGCCAGTTTGTTAATATCCGACTTTAAAAGAAATAGTTATAGCTGTTTTATTTTATACCTTTGAATCTGATTGAACCCTTTTAATGTTTTGTTTATCAGCTCCTCGAGAATTATCATAGCTACAAAATACATCTCCATTTATCCTCAAAAAAACAGATGAAAAGAGTAAGTGTGTTTAGATGTATCAGAGGCCTCAAGATTTTTCACTAAAATATTGCTTTCAATGTTCGTTGACATATAACTCAGTCGAACAAATCACTGTGGAAAAAATGTCTCTCTCTCTATTCAACACTGAATTTTGAAGATGAAAATATTGCCGAAATAGTCAATAGAAAACTGAATACTCTACCAGCCGAAACATATCCTATAGCTAAGTTGGTTTCCGCCTATCGAACGACTTGCTCTTTGCTGCAATCAAAAGTCGATAGATCCCCTTCTCCTGTTAACTCTGTGTATTATATACAAATTTACATGTATCTACGGGAGCAGTTGCATTAGGGGAATAGAAAGGATACACCTCCGATTTTCTGAACATTTACTAAAAAAAACCTCTACATCTCAAGGGAATACGAGGTTTCGGTAATGCAATTACCAGGCATCTGTCTGCTTGATACGAGTCATGAGATGGACATCGCAAAATTCTTTGAAGTTATCAAGAGACTTAAAAGTGCAATTCTCTTCAATTTCCCTGAAGCAATCGTTATTAAACGCCTGAAACCAGATATATGTATTCAGAAAGAAGCTGTTATCATCAGTTTTGTCTTACCCTGACAACTGAATGTCAGAGCATCTTATTCTGCACAAACTGTTGATCTTGCTTTATTCAAATAGTGTTTTGTACCATTTAAAAGTCTGCATTTCATCTTCTCTCTTATCTGTCTCCAGTGAATATCACTTGTGAACATCGAGGAGAATAGCTTGATAGCGAAACAGGAAGATTGTATTAAAAAATCTCTGTGTGTCCTTGTCCTTTAAGACAACTATTCATCTTCTATAAAATATATCCGTTCAATTCAGCGAATATGAGAATTTGATTTTCCTGTTAACTGTTATAATGTTGTTGTTGTGTTTTTATTCTAGTGTATTCTGTCGTCAGTAATTGTTGTGGCGCTGAGAAATGTCCTCATGCAACCGAAGAGACTGCCCCATTTATGGCGTACCTACAAGCCAGACTTTGTAAGCTCAACCCACACACACACACACACACATACATATACAGAGTTAAATTCATGTGAACTTTATTTCGCTTGTAAAATTTCGTCATGCGATCCACATCAGTTGGAGAGATCATTGTTAAGTACCAAGAACCACTGGAAAGCTGTTTCACCCTAGTCTGGAAGTCATCATCAGTGTGCATTCATGACTCCAGTTCAGTGATATGGCTACTGACTGGATGGATTCTTGAAATTGTAATGCAAAGTCGCGATCAATGCAGAGCCATAGAAGGCATTTATTTGTTAAGGGCAAAGCTATATCATGAATTGAAAAATCTAGAATTTATTGGTCACAGAAATCCAGCTGAATAATAATCAACGGGCTATCTAATTGCTCCCCGAGGCTTTTCAATGATCTCTCTGACTGATGTTGGTTCTCTTTCACATATATGTTTATACACTTTTGCATCTATTGACCATGTTCAGACACTTTGTTATACTTGCTGTTCCCGAAACAACAACAACAACAACAATCATACTGTATTACTATGTCAAGGTTAGGCTGACTCATTACTTTGCGCATGAAATTCCAGTGAACTGACTGATTAGTTTTTAGATGATTTTTTCAAACTGATTAAAAATGTCCATTAAAATTTTTCAAAAGAATGGTAACTGAACAAAGAATATGCTCTTAGATAACTTCAACATCAGGTTCTACAGTTATATATACATAATAGTGAATGAATTAGGGTTGTTAACAACATTATTGTTGCTCAAATAACATCGAATCAACAGTAATATCAATGGATTTTAGTTCGATGGTATTAAAACAACAATACACTAGATATCAGAGAAATTAAGAAAGATAATATTACAATTTCATGAATTTGTAGTCTTCTCCCCTGAAGGCTGGCCAGGGCAGTAGTAGTGGCTGTCTGAACTAGCTTCTTTTGTATACAAAGCACTGATTGTATCAGGCGAATCGTGATAGCCTCTGCTGTTTGGAGCAAGTGGTACGTCGATGTTTTTGGGAATTTATTTGGTACCTGTTAGACGATAGAGAAGGATTATTCAATGCTGCCTTTGTGGCCAGTTTGGACCAGATGGTCCATTATCGAACTGTTGAAGGTTTTCACTACACCTTTACTTAGCCATACTGGGCGATGTTCCCGAGCACGAAAAATCAGGTTCCTAGAGCAACGGCCGATATAACTTGCTCCATCACAAGCGCGGTTGAACTGGTGGATACAATTTGAAGTGGTCAGTTAGTCTAGGTACTTCATCTTTCAGCGGAGGAATCACTATCGGTCGCCAGCATTAAAAGTTCTTTGAACTGATTTTCTTAATTTCCTCATAATTATCTTACTTGATATATCGCCCTTGAATTGTAGTCGTATATAAAGAGGCTTCTTGTTTACAGATAGTAAGTAGTCCTTTTCCGCTTTCTTCCTCATGTATTTCTTGATAAATTCGACGGGATAGCTATTTTCAATCAAAGTATCATATGCATGGTACAATTTTATCTTCAATTAAGAAGTCAATTGCAGCGAAGAAAATTTTCTTTTTGACGAAGTCATCATCTAGGCTGTACATTCGTGTATTTATATCAAATGGATGGGAAAGTTCCAGAATAATATCCAGTCAAGGGTCAAATTAATAAAAATTACAATTAGGAATTAGAATGCCATAATAAACAGGGGGATGGACAAAACAAACGAAGTATCATCATGATAGCTAAGAAGTGAAAACATTTATTTCCCGATACGAATATAAAACAAGCAATAAAGGTTAATAAAGCAGGATTTTATGAATTCATCAAATTTCGGTAGAACTCGTCAGCTGAATACTCTACATACACGAACATATATACTTTTGAAATTACATAGGGAGATATAAGACTGATAAGTAAAGAAACTACATTGACATTGTGCAATTAGGGGTTAGAAATGTAGAAATAACAAAATAGACAGGATGTTTGGATAAAAACTAATGTGATGAATAATTGTTTATGCAATCAGGGATTAAATGTGTAGAAATAGTAAAATGACAAAATAAACACTAAGTTCGGGTATGAAAATATGGTAGTGTAAACAGGGATTAAGAAAAACTTGAAATAACATGAATAAACAGGAAGTTTAGATAAGAAAGGAGATGGGATGGTGATTACTAAAAATTACCTGTTTATGATGGCCATGGCAAGGACAGGGGTTGGACGTATTTCTTTTGTATACAAAGGGTGGGTTTGAGCTTTTGTATAGCTAGCGCCTCGGCTATGCCCAGATGTCTTGATTTTACTCCCTTTGATAGGTTTGATCGAATCTTGTAAATGATTTTGAAGGATTTTTCGAGTGGCGCTGAATGTCCTGAATTCACCAGATGTTCTGTCACCGAACTATTTACCCGTTTTCGTTCTCCTTTTACTAGCCAGGCTGGATAGTGTTCACGAGCGCGTTTTTCAAGTCGGCGCATGGTACGGCCAACGTACTCAGCTCCACAAGAGCAAGTAAACTGGTATATGCACGTTGAGGTGGCCCAATGCGACAGCTTGTCTTTCGCGTTCTGGCTGAACAGTTTCTTGCAGGAAAACGTCAGTCGTAGGCTAGCGGCGAAGTATGTTTTCCTCAGCGATTTTGAGAGGCGTTTGCGAAGGATTTCTGCTTCAATATCACCTTTGAATTCTAGATTAAGCAGAAGTATTTTCTTTGGACTTGTTCGGAAGTCTTCTTAGGTTTGAGATTCTTGTCTATGAACCTGGGCGGGAAACCGTTTTCCATCAGGGTTTTTCGAAGATTACGCAGTTCTTCTTCAACCACTTCCTCGCTGCATATCTTCCGAATCCTCGAGGAGAGAGCGTATATCAGGTTCCTCTTTCTGCTCAGGGGCACGAAGCTTTGAAAGTTGATGAATTGTCCATTCCATGTAGGCTTTTTGTATATGGACCTTTTCAGAGAGTTGTCGGCGTTTCTTGTCAGATGGACGTCGAGGAAGTGGAACATTCCGTCGGATTCAGTCTCAAGTGTGAAGTCGATGTTTGGGTGGGCATTATTGAAGATTTGAAGTAGGTTTTTTAAATCACAGTTCTCATCACAAATAATGAAAGTATCATCGATGTATCTCTTGTAGAGATGGAGGTCGTTGATAGTTGGTGATAAGGCGTTGTTCTCTAAGCTAGCCATAAAGCAGTCGGCTAGAAGGGGTCCTAAGGGAGAACCCATTGCTACTCCATCTACTTGCCTGTATATTTCCTTGTTGAAACTAAAGTATACGTTGAAGGTGCATCGAAGTAACAGTTCTTTCAGGTAATGGATTGGTATACCGATATCGATGCTATTGGATTGAATGTAGTCACAAAGGAAACATACGGTTTCTGTCAGTGGAACGTTGGTGAAGAGAGACACGACATCCAGGGAGACCATTTTCTTTTCGGCAACATTGACATTCTTAATTGAATCAACAAAGTCGAATGTGTCACGAAGGTTGTGTCTTGACGGCTTTTCTTTCACCGGCCCGAGAATTTCCATCAGCCATTTTGCGATTGTATGATATGAGGAATCAATCATATCTAGTATTGGGCGGAGTGGGACGTTTTGTTTGTGCACCTTAGGTAAACCGTACATGCGCGGTGTTGCAAAACCAGATGGGCGCAGTTGTTCATATAGTTTTGGACTGACAATTTTTTATACTATCATCTGGTTTTCTTGTAAGGATTTTTTTCAAAGTTGGTAACAGATAGTGATGCAGAGCAGAGCGGGTATGTTGTTGGCGGTGTTGAAAGGGTTGAGTATAAATGCCGTGTTACTAAGCTGTTCTAATGTATATCTATCGGAATTTCTGTTTCCGCATAACGATTTTTATATGCCTATGTGAGCAAGTACATCCGATAACACAGAGACAGACGACTATTCAGTCGAGTAAGGTCTTGTGAATACAACAAAAGTATTCGATTTACTGCTAGACGTATAATTCCGGGTGCATTTTAGACTACAGTAAATGGACTTATTAACTGAATTCAAAAGTGAACGAAAAACTGACAGTGACACTGATATGAACAGTCTTTATTTTCATCATGTTCTCTTCAGTCCTCGCGAACTGGATCTCCAATTCCCCGAAAGCCTTCATCTCCTCCTCGAGTGACGTACTCCGTATCACCTACCAACGCCAAACTCACCGTCTCTTATTCACCATCTACTCAAGGGCCTGACGCATTATGTCAACCGACGTTCCCGTCAGCGTGTGTCCGATTCATCTGCATATTTGCTGAACAATAGGTGGTTGGTTGGCTAGTTCGCTTCCAGAGTTCCTTGCTGCTAATCTTTTCCAGCCAGCATCTTCAGTAAGAAGTCAGTGAAGGTGACTGTTGACGATCTGAGTCTCTAAATCATAATGAAATGCTGACTGACTGAAAAATCGTGCTGTAATTCCGACTGAACAATTTTTAGTCGAAAAATGTCTCATGATACTCTTCTTACAGTTGATTATAATAGCTTCATAAACTCCCTCAAATACACGAAAGTTCTGCTCGACCATTCTAAAACGCTACTGTGTATACTTGGATTAACAGTTGAATGCTTTTGATTAAATCATCGATAAGATGACTGAGGAAGACATGAACTTCGTGGATGATTTATACCTGATGTTACATAAATTCGAAGACCAGCAGGTGAAAACCAACAAGTTGGCAGAACAGGAAGGAAATGAAGACAGGACTTCAAGTGAACATGTAGGTGACGGAGGTGATAAAAACGCAGGTGAGGAAGATTACTAACCAACCACAACAACAACAACCACCTATCACTTTCAACGGAAGGAATTTGAAAGACGTCATTTTCTTCACTTATCTAAACATGATCGTTTCTACTACAGGCGACAACGTGTATGAGGAGTGCGAAATCAATATGGAAATCTTCTGAACTCCGCAGTAGAAAGAACACAATTTGGATTTTAACACGAAGCTAGTTAAGTCAGTCACTACGCCTATATGAGTTAAAAACTTGGCGCGTGATTCAGAAAAAAGCACTTCCAACAAGTCGGTGAAGACTTTTATGGACACATGTCTTCACTGGCTCGATAATGAAGATCAGATGGTTGACGGAAAGAATTACCAACAACTAACTCTAGGAGTGCACCAACCAAGGACCTATCATTCATCAGATATGCCGGAGGAAATGGAGATAGGTCGGGAACGCACTGAATAGACAGAAAATTAGTGGGTACTCAACAAATGTTTTGTCCTGCCTTAGAGGTACGTGCCTATGACCTCAAGAAGAGTCGAGTCTGCAACCGTCACGTCAAAAAGCGATCCCGTGGGCCATTCGATCATTGACTGAGACTTGGTCTGTTGACCCATAGATTTTCAGTGTTTCTCTAACTAACTGATGTCATTTTCCTATATAACCTGGAACCATTTAAATCTAAAAGACTAATTAATGAACAACGGAGATCATCGACATATTATATTCCAGAAGCATCAGTAGCAGAGAGGGAGAGATAACATGCATTAATGTAACAACAAAGTGAATATTGGATCAGATAAATTCAGAGAAGTACTGCACAAGATTTATGGATTTATAGGTTCAAAAGCTGACCAGGAGGGTAGCAATAGTGGCTGGCTGGATCTGTGTCTTTCACACTCAGTGAACTGGTTGATTTAAACGAATTTTAATGACGTCCGTCATTTGAAGTGTTAGGGGTATCTACAGACCTTTAGTAATATATTCAATGCCTGATAGATGCTAGAGGAAACTACTCATCAATGCCAATGAGTTTCATGGCCTTTTTGAATGAGTTGATCTAATATAGCAGAATTGTTGGTAGTTTCAGCAACATCATTATTTAATCACCCTATTAGATGTTACTAAGCATACAAAATAAAGTCCCTAGAAAACAGTCAATATAACCGGGTCCCACAGAAGCAGATGAATTGATAAATGCATTTAGAGATGGCCAAGGTTTGGAGATTTCGTTTGGTTCAGTTCTAATTCACTAGATAATATTCCTTTTTTTCGTATCACAGAAAACGTTTCCCGTCTTTCTGCACACCTCAATCTTAGATACAATTGATTATTTTGTTTGTTTTTTTTGTAATTTTTAGGCACTATTTTTGATCACATTTCTTAGCACCATAATACTCGATGTGACTTATGGACTAGTGGTTGGTATAGTTGCTTGTCTTGTTTTACTGTCTGAGAAACAACGTGTCATAAAATTACTTGAGTTGCAAAATGTTCCTGGTACTGAACTCTATGTCCACAAGCACTTTGAGGTGAGTTACACTCTTTACGCTTTGAAACATATTCACATCAGTAAAGAATTCTGTGATGCATATTAAGTAGTAGCTTATGTTTTATTGATTCGCGATATGCAATTTCTCGCATACCACCTACTGTAAACCAACCATGACTACGATGTTTTGAAGAGGAAACCAGTGTGTGATTACAAACTGCGTTGACATGACAAACTGTACATTTGGAAGGAGAAGAAGTGGTAATTTTAAAATAATCTACCGACCACACTAAGATAATTTTGATTGCTGTGACCGCAAGCTAGTAGGCTCTTTCGCGGCGATTGTAGTATAAAAAAAAGAATTTTATTTTCTTCAGGTTAGACAACTGATTGATATCAGTTGGAGAACCATTTGAGAACCTGGGAGTACTGAGCGACTGTTTCGTCCTAGTTTGGGACCCTTCATCAGTACCCACCCACTGAGTTTCGAATCCGTGACCTTCCGGTTACAAGGCAACCTGGTTCGTATACCATTCAGCCACTGGAACCCGATTCAATGGCCAGCCCACGAATCCTAACTTTTACCAAGTAGTGATTTTTAGTAGGACCATCGGCTAACGTCATCGTTGGGAAATCCATCCTTATAGGCCAGGACCAATACTCCCTGGTTTTCAGTGGTTCTCTAACTGGTTTCAATCCATGGTCTAAAGTAAATCATCTTAGCAACAAAAGAAACATTCCCAAGGGTCTGTCATTAAAACCGTTAATTTTCAAACAGCAGATTACGTTATTATAAACGAATCACTAATAGGGTTGAAATTAAAATAAAACTTAATAAGTAAATTGCGTAACTTAACAATATTTGGCTGCATAGAGTAGAATTTGACTACAACTGAACAAGAGTCAAGTGGACAACAGTGGCAATAAGGGGTGTAAGAATTTATTAAGGCGTGAAGGAAGAAAATAATGCAATTAAAAAACAAAAAGCATAAAGATTACTTATCCAGCGTTAAGACAGATCAGATCCATTGTAGATTATTTATTATTAACTAAAAGATACTTTCTTGCAAGCGGAGTTCAAGATTTCACATGTGAATCTCCATTGCTTCTGCAGTTTGAAGAAGTTTAATTCATACTCTTTTAGCACGATACTCTCATATTCTGTAGGATGTCTTCAAAGTTGGTTTATGGGTTAACTTGATTTCCATATTCAATCAGGTGTTCCAGGATAGAGCTGTACGGAGGCGGGGGGGGGGACTTCTTTTCCCTTTTGCAAAACCATGAGGGTTTACCCCACCCTTTATTACTCTTTCTTACCATTCTACTCAATCCCGTCAGTTATGTTAAGTCACTCAATTTACATCTGGTTTCTGACTAATTGCCGCCTTCCATATTATGTGGTTTGTTGTTTAAAACAATTTACACTTCTAACGATGCATCTTTGAAAATATTCCTTTTGTTGCCGAGATAACTTACTACGTATACTTGCGATTGTACAGTTGGAGAATGATGTCGTCGAAAAGAATAACTCTTCTCTGAACTTATTTCAATTTTATATAAAAAAAAACGTATCAGGAAGTACCGCTAATAACATAAAGTAAGTTTGCAAGTCATGGGAATACACTGATATATAGATTATGAGAGATAAGTTGGCCTCGAAACGTCGGTGGCACAGCGGTTAAAACTCTCGCCCATCATGCGCATAGTCCGGAGTTCAATCCCCTACCGACGAAGCACACCTGATAAGCAATCGATCGGCCTGCAAAATTTAGGCTACCGATATCACATGCTGGAAATTTCATACTTGTACCAAAAGTACTGTGTGGAATCAGGCTATAATCAAAAAAATAAATAAAATAAAATAAATACAGTTGTTAATACTCTGTCTAATATAGAACATGACTAAAATAGTCTGAAACTATAACTATACTGAACTCTAATATAATAAACGTTAAAATATCATTCCTTATTTTGCTTACCTTTATCAATAATAATAATAATAATAATAATAATAATAATAATAATAATAATAATAATAATAATAATAATATTTCAATAAACCATCAGCTGCTGGTTTGCAGGGATTTGATTTGTTACAGGCTTGGCGACGAGCTGACATCATTCATGCGCCATTAGAATGGACCCAAGCAATTGAATGGTCTACCACTTTGCTTTTTGACAGGAGGGTATTGGGCTCCAACCCTGTTGAGTCCATAATGCTGAGGAGTCCAGAACTAAGACGAAACATCTATCCAATAATCCGAGACAAGTTACTATTAGTATTCTCAAGGTATACAGCCGGGAGTTTCACCTACAAGAATAAGCGAAGAAACCTGTGTCTGTTGTCTCTGGATACTTCGATAAAACTCGGAAAAATATATATGAAGAGGTCATTTAGAATTATACAAGAATGCGATGAAAGTGTATATATGCACACTGATAGTTTCATAAAAAATCTGAGCATTGTTCCTTTACATTACATTACGCATTTTGAAAAGACTATTCGTGAATCAGGACACGACTGTAATGCGTTCCAGATATGGAGGAAGGTTTAAACTTTCATCATCATGCTGTTCCTATTTCACTAGGAAGCTTCAAGATGAATACCTGCACGTGTGGTAGATACTGTGAATGATGACTTCGCAACCGCTAATATGTTAGTTAAGATGTGCTTTTGGCATTACTAAAAATCTGTATAAATAGCTAGACAAGTGGAAACTAGACTTTTTTTCGAAATAAAACAAGCATTGAACAGTCTATATATCTGTGTTCACAGACCCGCATACATACACACAAGAGTGGTCAAATGGTACAGTTTGCCTTCCGACTTATTAGAGAACATTGTGCGAGGGGAGAATATCAGTCTCAATGTAAATACGAAGACTATTATTTTCAGAAGGTTTGATATTCTGCTCTTTGGAGTGTTGGTCGGTATATATATATTCCAATTGACAAATAGTGCGTTGGTGGCACAGCGGTTAGGACTCTTGCCGGCCTGGCAGATGGTCCGGGGTTCGATCCCCGACCGACAAACTCCTTCACCTCACTAAGCCAGAAATAAAAGCTGGTAAAGAGGGAAAGGTTGGGCATGAGGCTAGCAACCCCATCCTGAAGAAATCAACACCACTGCCACAGAAACTTCAAGCCTCTGGCTTGAAGCCCTCCTATGTTCCACTGGGAACGTAAAGGAATAAAAAAAATTGACAAATAAGGCACCAGCAGCACATTCCCATTTCACTTTGTTCTCTTCCAACTTTTTTTATTTGGCTCCACGACTTCCCATTAGCTTTCATCTCCTCCCCACACGATCTTTTCCATATCACACTAGTACTGGCTACACCCAAATCATCGTTTCTTATTCAAGTTCCCCGCATGGGCCGACCTGATGCACGATGTTACTCAGTAGCCCCTTCAGCTTGCATCGAATCCATTTTTATTCACTTCGACATATTTACTGGTTGGGTAGTCGGATGCTGATTGCTTATTGCTTATCTTCTTTCTGATTGGCCATCTAATCATCATTATGAAGCCAGCAGAGGCGGTAGCCTGTTGGAAGTGCTTTTAGTGACGCACGCGCCAAGTTTCTGACCCATGTAAGAGCAGTGACTGACTGGCTGAACTGTTTTGGTGTTGAAAATCTGGATTTCGTTCTTTATACAGCATGGAGAGGATTTCCACACTGATTTCAGAATGATGAATGTCTCTATCTAGTCTTTGAGCTCCTGTCTTTAACAATCTCATTCTGCCCCGACTACCTGTAGTTGAAACAATGGCGCTTAGACAGGTGAACGAGTGACTGGTGCTTGTTATTGTTGTGACTGTACAGTGAACTGAGTAAGTTCACCGTGAAGAAGCCAGTCTCATCACTGAACTGTTTATTCTAATTTCTACTAATTATTTTACTCTTCAATATCTTGTTTCCTTCCTTGTTTATTTGTTGTTGTCTAGGTGATGACGAGTACTCAGATGAACAAAACACAATTTGATTGTCTACTATCGTCGATCAAGTCAATCCGTGTTGTTGGTTCATTGAATTTTTCATCTTTTGAAAAGTTCACCACTGGTATTCACGCCATAGTCAACAGGATAACAGCAGAACAATGTGAACAAGTGAATAAGTTGAATAGCCCAAAACACAGTGAAGATTCAATTCCCTGGAATAATACTGAGGTGTCATTCTTTGAAAATAAAGAGACTGGCGAAGAGTATGTGAAATGTCGTCAGGTAAGCAAACATATACACACACACACACAGAATGTAAGCGCGGCTATACCTTATCAAAATAGAAATGTTACTGAGGTAAAGTAACGCACGCATTTCTCATTTATTATTATTATTAGGAAACCTTGGACCCAAGTTTTGTGCTAGTTGGCAACCTTGAAAGAAAAGCTGACGTCCCTTCTGAGATTCGAACCCGCATCACCCAATGAGTGCTGCAGTCAGAGACATTGCCACTGAGCTATTCAGGTTTGCGATTGACCACCTGTAGGACTGATAGGATTCAGTCTGCACCGAAAATAGGACTGGACACATCACATTAGTTACTGGCTATTAAACAATCATAAACTGATTCGGTATCAGATAAATTTAGGGAAGTAGCACACAGAGTTGATGAATTTGTAGGTTGGGCATCAGGTGAGGAGGCCCGGGCAATAGTAGCTGGTTGAACCTATTTCTTTTGTACAAAGAGCTCCAGTTTAATTAAACTAATTGCATTGCCGTCTGCCGTTTGGAGTATTGAATATCTGGAGGCCTTTGGATCCTAGTTCCTGGATCAACGACCAATGTAACTGGCTCCATAAAAGCGGTTGAAGTGACAGATACAATATGAAATGGCTAGTCTAGTCACTTTATCTATCTAACACCTTCGGGATCACATCCAGTTGTGTAGAAAATATAAGGTACAGCTTTCCGGTATTAAACGTTCTTTGAATCAAGTTTTCCAATTTTTTGGTTATTATTTCATTCGGTACATCACCTTTGAATCGCAGTTGTATAACTACAGATACAGATAGAGAAGAATTCTTTGCTACTCTCTTCATCGTGTGTTTGTTGACGAACTTTTCAGGTGAACTGTTTCCAATTCATGTGCCATATACAACCTCAAGTTTGTCTTCAATAGTATTTTCTGAACAAATAGCTCCAACCTTATATTTGAGGGTCTTTACAAAATTTACTTTATATCAGAGAGGAACAATTCTGTGAAAATGATCCAAGCACTTTTCTAATGCAAACTCCTTTTTATACTACCTAGCGTCTGGTCTTCTTGATATTAGAACGTCTAGAAAGCCAATTTTACTTCGGGATTCTTCTTCACACACGTGAATCTGATGGTTGGATGTGTCTTTCATTGAATTGAGATATTATTGTTTTCCTGTCCAAATCATTTTTGGAAAAGGTTGAAGATATCATCCATATATCAGCAATAGAATGAGAACTTTCGTATAAAACTATTAGTTAATCGAATATTATATGATTGCAGATAGATCAGATAATACTTCTTAAGCAGTTACACTTTTCTCTATAGACATCTAAGGTACTATTTTCAAGCTATGGTAAGAAGTGAACATATCTGTTCGAAGGACTGACTTTGCAATTTGCACATTAATTCATGGTTCACTCTATGCTCCGGGTCGAACCGGACGTACGGCTAATGAACTCGGTGCCAAACAAACGAAACGGTCACCCGGTGCTTTGAATCGTCGTCACTTCGGTCTGGCTAACCGGCAAGCATCAGTACTGGACACGAGAGGTATTCAACCACTCGTGTCAGTCTATCAGCAGCACCTGGTGTTATGCATATGCATCCGATATGTATGTGTTTCCTTGTAACTCAGATAAGACTAAACCGATGCATCAGTCAGCTTTCAGTAGAATTCTCTCATGAATTAGACACCTACCTGGCTGATCAGATGAGAAAATGAGCTGATAACCCATGGATTTGATGAGTTGAAGTCTCTACACCAACCAAGTTGGTTGTTATTCCACTATAAAATGATATCTCCTTGCTTCTGACGACATTTCGAGCTCAAATTATTACTTCTCATTATCATATCAAGCCAATTATATAACTTCCAGATTCTGTTTTTACAGTCCTACTACTTCTTATCCTATGATTTCATTGGGAGTAGTATTTCCCATGTATCTGGTACTGACGCGTTACTGACTTATTCTTTTTGCATGTGTGGTTTTGGGTGAACAAAGATTCAGTATACGACGCTAAAAATTACCCAAATCTGGGTCTTTGCAGTTTCCAATAATTTAATAATTCCCATAGTAACATTTTGGGCACAATATTTAATGAAGAGACTCTTTTCAACCAATTCATTATCAAGCTGTACAATCGTACATATAGATGGTTGTATTTTGAGGAAATTATATTCCGTGTGAGAGAATTGAATCAAATGTGTGAATACGTGAAGGTGGCGTAAAATCATGGGATTTGTAGGCAAATAAAATAAAATCTTTAGATGACACGATGTGAAATTTGATAAAATAGAAGTCAAAATTGTAAGGAATTTTCGGATTTAGAATGACAAGTGGTAGCAATTCACAGTGGGAATACTAATAGTATTAGTAGTAATAATAATGATCATAGTAATGAGGGAAAGGTACATAGATTAACTAAATAAACAAAATAAGTAAATAAATGAATGCATATCCCTATGTGGCCATGGCAGATATACTGAGTGAACATAGTTCTAGATATGATAGAGAAGATTTGTAGCTCAGGTGGATGATTTTGATGTGGTTTTGTTCTCCAGCTCAGAGAACAAAACCACATCAAGAACATAGTTCTTTTGTACACAAAGGTGACAATCCTAAAGTCGTGGTCAGAATTGATAGAGTGATAGAAGTCGATCAAGTGTTCTCGGATAGAGCTGTGCACACCCTGCCTTTCTCCCTTGCTGCTTCAATATGTTCTCGTATCCGTGTGGAAAGCGTCCTCTAGCTGCGATCAATGTATCTCGCTCCACAAGAACAGATATAAATGGAAGTGGCCAGTCGAGGGAGCTAATCTTTCATAGAGATTGAGAACAACTTACGTCTATTGAAGCTCATTTGTAGTTTTGCGGTAAAGCTAGTTTTACTGAGTAATTTAGAGAGACGATATTTGATAATTCCCTGAGGGTTGATCACGACTGAATTCCAAACTTATTAAGATGATTTTCTTTGAGACTAAGTCAGCGATCAGTTTGGACTGCTTATCTTCTGAGATTTTATCAGTAGGTTGGTTTGAGTAAACGTTTCCTGTGCGCATGGATTTTAGGAAGGAAAGTTATAAGTCAGTGCAGCCAGAACTACAAATTTTTTTATCGTAAAGCAGACCGAGTGAATTAAGTTCTTCATCCTGGAGATAGGCACCCAACTATAAAAATGAGCTATTTGTCTATTCCATGCACATTTCCGTTGAATAGATCTTTTGATAGATCCTTCATGTGCGTCGGTGGCACAGTGGTTAGGACTCTCGCCAACCATCCACATGGTCCGAGGTTCGATCCCCTGCCGACGAAGCACACCTGATAAGCAATCGGTCGGCCTACAAAATTTGGGCTACCAATATCCACGCTGAAAATTTCATACTTGTACCAAAAATACAGTGTGGAATCAAGCTATAATCAAAAAAAAAAATTGATGAGCGTCAGTTTTGTCGTCGAACCAATTTCTATACAAATATTCATCAAGATAACTGAAAATAAGTTCATTTTTGGGGCCGTTTATTGCTTTCAGTCTACCCTGAAGTCCTTGATTGAGTTTGTGTCGGCACTAGAATCCTGGAATAGCCTCCATAATCCTCTTCTGGAGTTCAGTGCTGTAAATACACAATACCCAAACGTTATTTGTCAAAACGTTATTATCAAAAAACATTTTAAAAAATTAAATAAATAAATTACGTCTAATGAGGTACATATCAAGAAAAGAAAAGCTTAGTTCAGATTTCTTTTTCTTTGGTGAATAGCAAAGACGGAAAGCAGTTGTTGAATGCAAACAAGATATCAAGTATTACAGCCTTATCACAGATAAATCGAAGTGACTTTTGTAATGTTGAATTCTCTCTTATCAAATTTCACATCATGTTATGTAACGATTTTTTTTATGTGCCTACTAATCCCATGATTTTACACTCCACTCCAACATCCACACATCCTATGAACTATTCTGTATGCATGACATGATTTGTTTTGCCACTCAACACTTGACATTCAACTGTGATTATCATCACAAACATTTTAATTACATTTCATACTCACATTATTAGTTGATATATTCACAGTACTGTTTAAATTTCCACACGGAATATAATTTCCTCAAAATACAACCATCTATATGTACGATTGTACAGTTTGATAATGAACTGGTTGAAAAGAGTCTCTTCACTGAATGTTGTATTCTTAAAACTTCTCAAATGTCTATGTAATCCTTAATTTAAAGAGTGATTTCCAGCTCATTAGTACATACTGGATTTATGTTGTGAAGTCCTGACGATTTCTTATGACCGGTGCGGGACCTTATATCAGGATGAAGTTAACGCCGTGGTTGGCGGTAACGGTTTATTGAGAACTGAGAGAAGTTTGAATTTTTGGGTCATTAAATTCTGATCCGGCAGCTGAATAGTGAACGGGCTGTCATCGCAAACTGGACGTCCTCAGTTCGGTCCCCGGTGGTGTGATAGGTCAATAATACTGGATCTAGTGAGCTATGACTAGATCTGATTTGTTGTCGATTCGCTTACTGATTTTCGGTATAGTGTTTAATAATAATAATAATAATACAGTTTCGGCAAAGTTAAACTTTAAGCACCACTAACTACCAATCAGCGAATGAACTCGAAAGCACCAATCACGTGAAGGAGGCGGCTTTGTGCATGGAATACATATATTTATGAAAGAAATGCATAAAAACTGTAGAAAAGCGTTTCAGAGGATACCACCCTCTCGCATGTGGTAAAAATAGCTCTCAAATTTAGGTTGGAGTATCAAGAGAGTATAATTCTATTGTGGGTAAAATTTATTTTGATAAATTCACACTATGAGACCACATTGTACAAGTTCTATTCTTGCACGAACAGAGTAATTTAACCACATTCTATGCATGTAATTGTTTAGGTCTTCTGGCAATGATAATAACCCTAATCTTTCCTGAACCTAACCCTAACGTGAAAATAGCCCTAAACTAATGAATGGACCCAGCATAAAATAGTATATCATCTTTTCTCACGAATAATGTGATTTATCTTGTGATGGATTCACTATTTCAATGTATCGTTTCTCCCGCATATATATGATTTAGTGTGTGAGATCAATTCAGTAAGAACAATCCACTCTCAAGGTTGTCAGCCGACTTTATTGTGATAAAGAAAATGTATAAATATCATGTGTTGTTACCTAAACTACATAGTATACTACAATATCTTATAGTCACAGGCTAACCAGCCTTTGTCTTTTGATATTTTCGTGACTCAGTGTAGGTGAATCGGAAGGTACACCGGACAAACACATAGGCATAATTAGCGTACCAGTCGAGTTCATTACCGTTATAGTAATTAACAGGCGTAGACATAACAAAGTAGCAACGGATTTATTCAGTTCATTTCAGTTATAACAAATTAGCAACGAAGTTATGGCAACTAACTGTAATCCAACCTCGAACCAACCATAATGTCGCCTTTATTAGGTCAACCTAACTCCAACTTGTCCATGGCTTAACGCGTAACTTAATCTTTCCCAAAACCTAAGCTGAAACTTGCCAGATATCCCATTTAATAATAGCATAACGCTTCGATCGATAAGCATATTTTACTGATGATGACAACATTATTTGATAGGTTTCACTAACTTGCTCAGTTAGCGTTTCGAGGTGGTTGGTGCGGCCGCGCTTCATTGGTAGTTAGTAGTGCTTAAAGTTTAGCTTGGTCCATTTTCCATATTCTAAATGACTCAAACCTAAATTTACATACTTTTCCTTCCGTTTTACTTTAAAATAAAAACTAGTTATGCGACAACGATTCACATCACTTTTCAAAGTTTGCTTTCCCTGATTCTGTTGGAAAGAAAAATAAAGCGGATAGTTTAGATGAAGAGAAATCGTTACACTTTCTACTCTTGGATATATCTGGAATAACTCATATTGATGCGACTGGAGCAAATGCATTGACAGAAATTCAAAAGAATTTATTCAAGAAAAAGTGTGTGCTGATCTTGTGTGGAGGTAAAAATTTCCACTTAATTTTATCAATCATGTTTATTTTGTTTATTTCTAAAATAAGGGATATGATGTATCTGCGGTCCATCGGTAGAATGCTCACTATCCACACAGGTGGTAAAGGTTCGAGTCCCGACTGATGTATTCCTGAAAACCCTCCTGTAGTTAACCAGCCGATAGTGAGCGAGTAGAGCAGAGAGGGTTGGATGTGAGACAAAACGTCTGAGTAATCAAAAAATATATATCAAAAGATCATCATTTAAACCTGTAGAAAACAATGCCATAATGAACAAAGGATAGCCTTTACGATGATTTCTTCAGGCTCGACAGTTACGTATACACACAGGGATTAAGCAAACATGAGTCAGTAAATAGAACACATAGTTCAGATTTATCCTTAAGGCTTGCTTAGAAGAAGATTTGGACGAAATCCTTGGTCTTACTTCGTTCATAACTTTGAAAGTTAAAGTATGCTCCAGAATTGAACTTTCACTCTGCTACGTTCTACTTTTGACCACCATGATGGTTTATGTTCATGTGCGTGTCTGGACAATGTCTTGCTGGTCAGGCCTATGTACTTGGCTCCACAGTAGCAAGTGAAACATTATATGCACAATGAAGTTGTCAACAGCAAGATCTTGTCTTTGATGTTTCAGTGAATAAGAGCGTGTGTGTTGAGAAGGTGAGACGTAGAGATACATCGGAGAATGTCCTTCTAGCTGCTCTCGACAGGTGCCTTCGGAGGACCTCACTTGAGTGCCGAATTTAAAATTAGGAGTTTCTTTGACAAATTCAGGTTTTAAGGAGTATCGGTCTGTCTTTTTACGTGTTTATCGGTGAAGGAGGTTGGATATCCATTTTTATTAGAGTTTTTCAGAAGGACTCCAACTTCTTATTCAATGCATCTGAAGAGAGGTCATGAGAATTCTTTTTCCTCTCATTTGGGACAAACTGTCATAGTTTAAAACCTGTTCATTCTAATTTGGTTTGTGATAGATTGACTTTTGTTAGCTTCCATATTATCCTTTTGTAAGCTGTGCATTCAGGCAGGATAATTCACCTGCTCTGCTTCAATTTTGAACACGACCTACTGATGAGCGTTACTGAGGTTGGCACGATTTCTTTTAGGTTAGTATTTTCATCAGTGATGATAAAGATATCATCCATTTACCACTTGCGGACATCGAATCGTTTGATTGTTAGCAGGAGGATATTTGAAGCAGTCGGTGAGCAATGGGCCAAGTGGAGAATTTATAGCTACTCCGTCTTTATCTCGGTATATTTGACCACTGAATGAAAACTGAACATTTATCGTGCATCTCAGGTTTAATTCTTTGATATGCTTATTTGGTATACAAAAATTTAGACTGAGTCCATAAACTCACATAGATCGCAGACAGTGATTGTTATTGACGAGTGGTTAAGATCAATAGAATTACAGCTCAGAATGCATAGGATGGTGGTAATATTGTGGTGGTGTGATACAGACAATGTGTGGCGATGGTATGTTATTTTCTCACATATTCCCACAGTTCAATTCGGCATTAACAATAGAATACGAAATATCTATTTCAACATTATGTTTGACATGTTAGAGACAGAATACTTTCTCACGGTTCACTTCTGCACTGGCAACAGAATACTATCTATATCTGAACATTCTATTTTTTGTCGTTTGATGTGAACCTAAACCACACGCTCAGTGATTGGTTAACGAATAGAATAAACTGTAGAAATATAAACAGTGGTTCGATGAATTGAAAATACACTTTGGTTACCATGGCTTGCCTTTTGTTGTCACAATTTTTTGAATTAATTTTGATTATAGTTTGATTCCACACCAGAGTTTGGTGCAAGTGTTGTGGAGTTTTCAGCATGTGACCGATCATTGATATCAGGTAGGCGTCGGCCTGGGATCGAACCCCCCGGACAATGTATGTGGTTGGCGAGAGTCCTAACCGCTGTGCCACCGATGATTAAAAGTATAGTACTAAATTGAATATCAGATAAAATTATGGACATTTAAGCGAAACTAAGAGATAGTTAAAGTAATGATGCCGTGTAAAATATCTCAGAGAGAAGGGGAGATTTTGAAATAATAGAAAAGATTTGTAACTCAGGTGGATGATTTGCAATTGATAGTGTTCTCTGAGCTCCTTGGTTTAATTGCGGAGCTTTCATCGTCTTTCTGGACGACATCTTCAGCGCAGTATTTAGGATAAAGTGAAATGATTTCTTAAACAGAGGAAACACCAAATGTGCCAGGGAATTCCTAGAAGCCGAGTACTCAAATGAAAACGCAATTAATAAACACGTTAATGTAGATGAAATATACCAACTGATAAAAAGTAAATCAGGTGATCGGAAAGTTTAAAATCCCAATCAATAGAAAACGGTCAATAAATATCTAAAGATGGTTACCGGGAGACTCATGAAGAAACTTAAATCATTTCACTTTATCCTAAATACTGCGCTGAAGATGTCGTCCAGAAAGACGATGAAAGCTCCGCAATTAAACCAAGGAGCTCAGAGAACACTATCAATTGCAGAAGGAGAGATTATCAGATGGTTGAAATGAAGTAGTTATCGTCAGGGTGGGGAAAAAGTCTGTACAGATTTAGCTTTTTTCATGCGAATTCTTATGGCTTCAGCCGATTTTCTATAGAAGGTGAACTCATAAGATAAAATTAAGATTAATCGCAATACATCAGATAACTTCAAATGCTTTGTTAACACCCTGACTTTATTTATGTTCACTATCTACAAGATAAGCTCAAACAGAGCTACGAATGAAGCTTGCTCATTTCTTGCTTAACCACCATATAGGATGATGTTTACTAAAACAATGGTAAACATGCCTAATCGTGTACACCCAATGTAAATAGCTGCCGAACGTGAAATTGTAATGGCTTTGAAGACACAGTGTGCTTTCTATGGAGTTGTTGGCACACCAACTTACCTTGTGGATAAATTCATATCATCATTAAGACAGTCGTTAGACGAGATTATTCTGGTTCTGTGAATGAAACACCTTATTAAACTGCGCTTATACTTCAGAGGTACAAATTCGAAAAATTAGGACACTGGTCAGTGTAAGGTTTCTATATTATTATTATTATTCCTTTCGGTTCCACTCCATTTCGTCCTATTCTCTGTCGTCCTATTCATCTGCCTCCATTGTTGTCCATAATCTCTTATCTTCCACTCTCACGATTTTCTCCATGTCACCCTGTCACCAAAGACCCACTTGTCGCTTCCAATTCTGATTGCACTCGAGGGCCTGGTGCACGATTTCATTCGACGTCCTCCTCAACCTATGCCCAATCCATCTCAATTTTCTCCTACATACGTGTTAAGCAATTGGCTCTTGGTTTGTTTGTCCCCAGCCAGTCAGAGTTTCTTGTTGCTAATTCTTTCTGGCTTGTCATTTGATCTTCAGTCTGGAGGTGGTGAAGGCAACTTTTGATGGAAGTCAGCAAACTGTTGGAAATGCTTTTCATGACGTATTCGCCAAGTTTCTGATCCGTATAAAAGAAGTGACTGACCGATTTCACATTTGTGATGAAAATTCAAATTTTGTTCTTTGTCCTGAGTGCATAGGATTTCCAAACTGATTTTAGAGTGATGAAGGCGTATGTTGTCTTTCCGATGTTATCTGATTTTGACATCTTCATCCGTTCCGCCTGTAGGTGAAACAATGCTTTCTGCATAAGTGAAGGAGTTAACCTCTGGTAAATCTCTCCCTTTGATGGTGATCGGTGCTGGTTCTTGTTGTTGTTGCTGTTGGTTGGTCGGTTAACTTCATCACCTCCATCTTTTTTATGTTCATCTGCAGACTCCTGTCTTCGCTGGCAGCTTCTTCATCCAGTTTGTTGGGTTTCACTTTCAAGTCCTCGAGTTTGTGTGTGACATTAAACATAAGTCATTCACATGCGAAATCCAGATCTTCTAGAGCCTTCTCATCGGTCAGCCCAGAGTATTCTTGTCTTCTAACTCTGAACTCACAGTCTGACGAAAAAGGAGTACACATCTTCTTTTTATTCTGCTTTCCTCTCTCCTGGACATAAGCACGTCTACGAATGACATACTATCACTTCTTTCTTTCTTGATGATAAAATTTTACTGTAGGATTCACATTATTAAATTTGTCTAGGATGTCCTCTTCGATTCATTCTCGTTTTTTCATGAGCGAAAACAGGCATCATGCACGAAATGATAACAGAATACCAGTTCACTAACTACACTCTTCCCAGGTGAAATCCATTCCGGCTTTCCTTCCTTGGTTGAGCGGTAGGTTCTTAGCTAGCTCACTGTCTGCCACAATTTGTCATCTCTTTTCCTTTATTATCGGTCATCTTTTCTTCAGTATTGGAATCAGGTATTGGTGAAAGTCAATAGTAGCTTGTTGGGAGTTTTTTTGGTGAAGCGCGCGCTCTCCGCTTCTGAACCATATAGTGAAAACACTGACCTGACAATAGTGTTAGACTGAATTCGGATCTTGTCCCTTATACTAAATGCTGTGGATCTATGTCTGCACTGATTCAAGTGTACTGAAAGCCAGTCTTGCTTTCCTCAGTAGGTGAGAGGGGGAGGGAGAATGGGACGACTTCCTTTAGGTCTACCGTTCGCGCTGGTGATTCTTCACCAACTCCACCTTCCCTATGCTCATTTGAAGTCCTTCGCATCTTCACTGCCACTTCTCCCAGCTTGTCTATTTTCGTCTGCATTTATTCCAGTTTGTTCGACACGAGACATAAATCCATCACGAAATCCATATCTTCGACAGTCTATTTTTTTGACGGTCAGCGCTCCCCACGCACAGCCTGTCATGTTATCCATTTTGAAGATACGAAGCAGTTGGTACTGTTACTCTATTAGTCAAATAAGGTATTCATTTATGTTTTCACCAGACAATGTTCAAAGTCTCGTTTTCAACAGAGCCTCATCCTTTCATCTTTGATCACTCTGTGTTGCAAATCGAACCTAGGGCTTCAAGTTTTCAGCTTTGAAGTTTCAATAGCAGTGGCGTCATTCTTTTTACAGAGTTGTATTGTTAGCTGCGTACCGAACTATGGCCATATGAGTGGATGGCGAATATTCTACCGGTGAGCCACCGACTCGGTGCTCATCTAATTGCCACAGTCAACTACTAGTTTAGAAATTTTCAGTGACACATAGTTGTTTATGATGGGAAATAATTTTTCGAAATTCAGACACTCGTGTTATGTGCAATGAAACATCTGGCTATCTGTTGCATGATAGCTTTTGTATTCAGCAGTCGTGGGACTAGCTACAGGCCTGGAATTTTCGAGAGAAGTTCTGACCAGTCGTGTCAACTTGATCGGAAGTCAGGACGAATACCCGTCGAAATAAAATCACAAATTGGTAGAGGTTAGAATTAATAGGCTACGGAGTTGTGTCCCTGTTATGTACTAGTTTTCCCCGTCGCCAAATTGTTATGTACTCGTCGCTAAATTATTGTTATGTACTGGTCGAGGAACTAATAGTCCTGACGAAAGAAGGCGGAAATCAGAAGACCACTAGGTTTGCGATGATACTTCTATTGTCCAAACACAAGGAGACGAAAATAAATGGTCTCACACCAAAGTGGTAAGTAAATAAAGTAGTTCACACAAATTGTGTGAACGAAATATGTATATATAGCAAAATATATAGCAGACATGACAACAACAACCATATATGGATATATGTCACTAAGCAACGGACTGTCAACAAACACTCACATTATATATAATATAAGGGGAATATACATTGTTAAAGGAGACAGGTTCATCAAAGTGAAATGGTCACAGACTAAGCGAGCAAATAGAAAGAGAGACCAACATACACACACAGATAAATATATATATGTGGATACATATCAGTCCCATATTAGTATGTTTATTACATGTATCACACAGTGAAACAGTATTAGTGTTTACTGGATGACACAGTTTCGAACAAAATTTATTGTGGTTCATAATCATATCAATTATAATTACACGACTTCGAAACTTCAGTTTTATAGTGTTCTTTGTTCTCTGCTGTTTGTTTTAGGCGTGGTAGTAGAATTTTCGAGATATCTGGGTGGACAGGTGTTGAATCATTCCTATTACACGTATTCACCTCAGTTGATTCGATAAACAAAGCTTATGTTATCAATCTCTCCCTCCACCCTGTTAAATTAGATTTTAAAACTGTCATCCTATCCCAGCCTATTTTAAGGTTGTGTGTAACTGCATGTAGTGAGTGCCATAGCTGAACTATTCTCTAGATTTCTTATCTTATTTGGTCGGGTCAAACAATCAAGATTTTGCTAGGTTTTTATACTCGGCTAGTCTGACTGACTACCCCCGTTCTACTACTTTGACCTATGTATTTGACCTGACAATCACTCCATGAGGGTATTAGATAAACTAAATTGTTTTGTTTTAAAGGCTCCACATGAGTGATCCTTTAAACGACAAAGATTGTTTCTAATTGAGTTTGTGGCTGGTTTGAATGCCAGCCACTTTTATCGCTGCCTTGTTAAGAATTCCGCGTGAGGTCGCCGAGGTTCCTTCCTTGTAAGGAATTACTACTGATGATTTAGATTCCTTATTGTTGGTGTTGTCTTGCGCACATTTGACTTGCATGTCGTCCTTAATATTATTATTATTATTACCACTATCATTATTTATTTTATTTTTACGTTTCCTTACATATTTCCTGACTCATTTATCAGGGTAATTATTGGGTTCCAAAGATTCTCTTATATGCCTCACTTCCCACCTTAGATTTTCCTTGGTACTGCACTTAGGTTTTGTGCCCCTATCACTTAAACACTTCACCAATCCTATTTTTACTGACATTGGATGGGTCGATCGGGAGTCCAAATGTATCTGTTTCAATGTGTGGGTTTCCTGTAAACACCAGTGTGTGTTTAACTCCTCATCTTTTTTCCTTTTTACTCTGCAATATAACACTCGAAGCTCCCCTTCCTGACTTTCAAATTCATAAGTGAATTGAATTGCCTCCACCTTTGAGTTAGTGGATTCAAAAAATTTATCTATATCTTGTGTTCTTGTTGTGTCTCATTGATTGAACTACCTATGAGCTTGACTTGTAACCAGAAGGTCATTGGATGAAGCCCTGGTGGGTGTATACTTCTGAAGAGTTTCAAACTTGGACGAAGTGGTTGTGTAGTACTCTCTGTTTTTCAATGATTCTCAAACTGATATCACTCCATTCTCAAGGTCGAAGCCCAGCCGAATTGTCTAACACAGATAACTGAAGGAATGAAGTTAACTATTAGCCCGGATAATTTAGGAATAACCACTGTGACTGCAGCTCTGGGTGATATGAAAGCAAAACTTAGGTCCAGAGCTTTCTATTAACTGTCACAGACATAATATCAATCCACCGTCAAACTTAACACACAGTGTCTGCTTTGTTTTTGAAAACTAAAGGATGAGCCTTCAGGTTAGAATGAATTTTTCAAAATTTGTCCAAGCTCCCTCCCTCTCCCTTCACCATTGACTGCATGGTGGTGTTCCTTGGGACTGTTGTAACAACAGAAGACAAGGGCCAGGCAACAGATCAGCACGTATTTATATATATTTCATGTACATTATTATAGCTTATTCAAGCAGACAAACGCAGTCTTCTGATTGGTTGTTTTCGAGTTTCTCGGAAAGTGGAGCCATCTATATGGGAATCATATTTGCCCACGTTTAAGTCTGCTGTGATTGGTTGTTGAATCAGCCTTGTTCATATTTTCTCACGGCCAATATTAGTGACCTGGACATTGATGTAGATTAATGTCTACCAATTGGCTAGTAGCCTGCTCTCACCACACTGTCACTGCTTCGTATTCTCATCGTTGTTTAATTATATATATTCCGTTCAAACGTGTGTTCAACGTTGTTTTGGTTTAAGTTCGGTTTTGTTTTGTTAGTCCTACTCGTACATAAACACAAAACACTACGCACAGGATACACATTATTCATTACTATGATTATTATTTATTGTTTATGGAACAACATGTTTCAACTTGTTCACTAGAATGTTTATTGATTTTTCAGTGCCAATGGCTCATACTGCAAAAAAAAACTATTCTTATTTTCTGTTATAAGTAAACGATGTTCAACTCTAATCAATATTTGAAGGTAGATTAATTTGCTATTTGACTAGTTAAGGTGTACTTTCATATTCCATCTGGTTGATTTTACTGCCTGTTCATAGAATAATATGCTGACCTCCAGATCGATTGACAGACTGATTTTCAACACAGCATTTTTTGTGTAAGTTCAGCAGTCCAAGCTGTTACATTGTATGTAGAGATAGCGTTTTTGAGGATGCCAAAGAGGCAGTTTACACCATCTTTCGTGACTGGCTGAAACTGACTGTAATACATGTAGCTTCATAACCTCATCTATTAACTTGCCCTGTTTTCCTAGTACTCTAACCTAAGTAATGCTAATCGACTTATACACACGCACACACTTAATTAGGATTTTTGTATGGAGAAAACTGTAAGGCTGGAAATAGTTTAGTCATTTGGTCAAATAATAAACGCTTGCTTGTCCTTAATCGTTGTGTCTGATGATCAAAACAAATTAGCAGTCCGCCTCCCAGCCATCCAGGGGGTAGGTGATTACTTGACGATCAAATAACAATCTAGAAAATTATTACTATATTATTACATAAGGCTTCAGCCAGACATCTCCATTGCGTTCGGACCACCGCTAACGTTTTCATCTGGCTGCATATCTTCCAGTTTGTGAAAAATCAGACATATATCATCGTCTGAAATCAATATATATATATATATATATAATAAGCAATCTGAGTAAGTGAGTCACTAGCAGTCGTTATTCACAGTAAGTTCCAAGCCCAATACAATCAGTTACATATGATAGAAAACGCTCTGAAATCTGCTTTCGCTTATTTCAATAGTTTTTTATGTCACTTATCGGTTTCAGATCCAACTCCATTCAAGTGTTTATCAACAGCCGACTGGCAAACATATCCTGGAGTGAAACCAATCTATCCAACGTTATATGATGCTGGTGCTGTTTGTGTTCAAGTTCTGTGTCAATCTGAATCGGAGTCGGCCGAGACTGAAGAGGCGGAGAAACAGTGTGATACCGATTCATAAACTTTGTCTTGTTTTTTATCTATCCAGTAAGTGAAGAGTAAATCAAAAGCTTTTGGGACATTATTATTATTGTTATTATTTTATTCCTTTACGTTCCCAGTGGAAAGAATATATGACTTCAAGGTTGGATCTTTAAAGTTCTCGTAGCATTGGTTTTACATTTTTACGAAGTAAGGTTACTAGCCTCACACCCAAACTTTTCTGTCTACCGGCCGGCTCAGCGAGGTTGGAGAGTATGTTCAGAATAATCCCCACTCATATAAGAATAAAACTTGTGCACTGTGGCAGAGTATAATTCCATTTCTTCCTGCATATTTCTTGCACTATCAGTTCCTGCTGGGTTGGTTCTCTCCTTGTTAGAATTTATTGGCCATTGGATTGGGTCCCAGTGGCTTAATGGTATACGACCCCGCCCCGTAACCACCCCCGTGGGTGCGTACTCCTGAAGAGTCCCAAACTAGGACGAAACAGCTGTCCAGTACTCCCAGGTTTTCCAGTGCTTCTCTAACTGATGTCAGCTCATGATTAAATCCTCCATGCAATCAAACAAAATCCCTACAAAACCAATACTTGAAAATTAATCTGATGCTCACTAGTGACTGGCCCTATTCAGCCAGTTAACCTGGGCTTCTAGTGGGAAGCCGTGACCAGTAGGGTACAGCAGGTTGAAGATGAGGCAGTAACTCATGGAAGAAGACATTGTGAAGTGGTCGCGCTATGTCGTGAATTGGCAGAAGTTAGAATTCAAGGACGATTGGATCGGGTCCCAGTGGCTTAATGGTATTCGAGCCCGCCCCGTAACCACCCCCGTGGGTGCGTACTTCTGAAGAGTCCCAAACTAGGACGAAACAGCTGTCCAGTACTCCCAGGTTTTTCCAATGATTCTCTAAACAATGTCAGCTCATGATGAAATCATGTAACCAATGGGTAAAATTTATTTTGATAAAGTCTCACTGAGCAATAAATTCTTCTAGAAACGTTATCAGTAAATATTACTGCATAACACTGTGAGACTTTATCAAAATAAAGATTTTATCCATAATGCAATGAATCCCCATTCAGACATAGATGAAAATGAAAAGCGTAGCTCAACGATCTCATTTTCAACAGAGGGTAGTAAAAAAAAGTGGTGAGTTGTCACAATCCCAGTGTTGATGCTGTCAATCAATGCATGACAGGAGCTGATTGGATGTATTGGAGTTACATACTAGGATGCTGTTATGTACTCGTCGCCAAATTATTGTTATGTACTGGTCGAGAATTTAATAGTCCTGACGCAAGAAAGACGGAAATCAGAAGACCACTAGGTTTGCGATGATACTTCTATTTTCCAAAACACAAGGAGAATCAAAATGTCACACAAGAATGTGAATGTGAATAAAAATATGAATGTCCGAACAAGTGTGTGAACAATTAATAGACAGTCTTAACATGAATGGCTAATTATAATGGAGTATCGATTCATATATACATAGCAAAATATAGCAGACATGTCAACAACCACACATATAATATGGATATATGTCACCAAGCAACGGACTGTCAACAAACACTCATATTATATATAATATAAGGGGAATATACATTGTTAAAGGAGACAGGTTCATCAAAGTGAAATGGTCACAGACTAAGCGAGCAAACAGAAAGAGAGACCACCATATATATATATATATATATATATATATATATATATATATATATATATATGGATACATATCAGATGCATAACTTAATGAACTAATGAGTTGTAATCAGAATGCACATGACAACGAAGAAACAAAAAATATGGAATTATTTAAGAGTTCCGAAGAAATACAAAAATTTTAAGGAGTTCGAAAAACAAACAACACAGATCAAAAAGGCTGTTACAATGACAGTAGAATTGGTTGAATACTTTTCGTTTGTATGCAGAACTCCTGTTTTTGCACTAGCGGAATGACTTAATCTTCAGCAATAGAAAGGTGAGGAAAAGGTGTACTGCCTTTTGCAGGTTATTCTCTCCTTCGTTGCTTACTTTCAAGGAGGCATTTATTGAGATGGAATGACCAGTGTTGACAGCGATGATATTCGCTCCACTACGCGTTTCGTCTACAGTAATATGGGTAGAAGTCAAAGATTTTATTTAGTACATAGGTGGTAACTGAGTCTATGGTTCAGTGGTGAAATCTTCGCTAACCATCCGCGTGTGGTCTGGGTTTGATTCTCTGACCAAGGCATTCCTAAACCTCATCTAAACGATGGTGAGTGTGAAAAGGAGAGAAGCTTGGGTGGTAGGCCAGTAAACTTACACCTTTTTAAAATAAAACAATGCCACATCTACCCAAACCATTTTAGAACTTCTCTCAGAAGGTAAAGAATGAAAAAAACAAAATTCAGCATTCCCTTAAAATGAGACCTGCTTCTTCGCGTAGACTCGGCGGTAAAACCGAGAAATAGTTGTTGTGCTAAAGGGTTGTAATATGCATTTTCTTCTTAAAATGTGTCTAACTGTGTCATGGGAATCTAATACAAATGATTTGATTCAGGTTTGATCATAAATTGACGTTGGTTTGGGAACCATTGAAAACCAGGAATTTCTGGACAGATGTTCCTGTCGCCCTAGTTTAGGACTCTTCAGGGATACGCACCAAACAAAAAAGAACGAACAAAAACAGGCCGCGTGTGACCGGCCTCAAGCAGTTGTCCCCTGGGCTCTGCGGTCACGCAACCAACTTCCACGGTGTGGGCAGCCGGGAAGTAACAATCGCCCTCACAATCCGAAATGCACACGAAACCTCTCTATTACTCACTCATCTTTGTCTTCATCTTCATCTCTATCATCTTGCCTTCCTTCCACTGATGCAACTCCTCGACTTGATAGCTCTCCACTCTGTGCACACTAAAAACGATGGAAGCCAAAAAACCACCACCGACAGCCTCTTAAAGCCGCGCCACCAATTTCATATAGGAGCTCTTAATGTTAGGACACTTTGCCAAATAGGACAACAAGCATCACTAGCCAAGACCCTGGCATCACGAGCCATTGATGTATGTTGTGTTTCAGAAACACGCATACAAGACCCAAGTGTGGTTATTCACCTAACCCCACCTGGCCAACAGGTTGAATCTGCAAAATTCACCTTGAGGGTGTCAGGAGATGCCACAGCTAGTTCACGAGGATTAGCTGGCGTAGGGATAGCTTTGAGTACTAGGGCAGAAAAGACATTGCTTGACTGGATCCCGGTAGATAGCCGAATGTGTGCTGTCCGCCTGAACGGATCAGTAAGAAGGAGGAAGGACTGCACTACTCGCCGATGCCTTTTCGTAATCTCCGCCTACGCCCCCACTGACTGCAGTTCAGATGAAACGAAGGATGAGTTCTACCAAAAGCTGTCTAGTTTGGTGGAAAGGCTAAACGCTCAGACATAGTCGTTCTAGCTGGTGACTTTAACGCTCAAGTAGGGAAATTGTGTCAATCTGAGAAGGATGTCGGTGGCACCTATGGAGTTCCGTGCCAGCGAACCGACAACGGTGACCGTCTCCTACAGTTCTGCTCTGATAATCATTTGTTTCTTGTAAGCACTAACTTTAAACACAAGGAGAGACACTGTTTGACTTGGAGACCCCCTTCATCAAACCAACGCTGGACACAAATAGACCACATAGCAATAAGCTATCGTTGGCGTGGGTCGGTAGGAGATTGTCGCTCCTTCTGGAACACGTGCGTAGATACCGACCATGCACTGGTCCGCGCTCGGGTGTGCTTACGACTGAACGGACGTAGGAAACAGCTGGCGGTAAAACCATCACGTCCCCAGCTCGATCAGGAAACTAAATCCGTATTTCAGGAAGAACTAGCTAAACACATATCTGTGTTCGACAGCTGTGCTCACCCTGAAGAAGCTTGGAAAAATATCCAGGCAGCCATAGATACAGCTGTAAAAGCTGTGAATAAGGTAAACCCAAAGGTGAGTAAAAACCACTGGATCTCCACCGCCTCATCCGAACTGATAGATGCTAGAAGACTTATTCCGGCGAGCTCCGAATTCAATGAGGAGCGAAAGCTGCACAAGAGGAAACTTACGAAAAGTCTCCGCAAGGACCGTGAACAGTGGTGGGCGACAAAAGCCAAAGAGATGGAGAAAGCTTCGAGGATAGGCAACACCAGGCAACTCTTTGGACTCATCAGGGAAACGGGTGGGAGAAGACAAATCATTAGTGAGACAATCTCGGAAAAAAATGGCACTATAATTAGCTCCCAGGATAGACGACTGGATCGTTGGAAAGAGCATTATGAGGAGCAGTTTAATTTGCCCACAGCCACGCTCAACCTTCCGAGCATCCAACACCTCCCTGAATGGGATATAGACACAGGTCCTCCGTCACTAACTGAGGTTACTAAAGCTGTCACCAATCTGAAACTAGGCAAAGCAGCGGGACCTGATGGAATGACTCCAGAGGTATTTAAGTACGGTGGAGACAGCTTACTGTCCGGATTAACTGAGGTACTAGGCAGCGTCTGGGAATCAGAAGAAGTCCCATCGGGTTGGTGTAAGTCACTGATTATCCCCATATACAAGAAGGGAGACAAGTCTTCCTGTGATAATCACAGAGGGATTAGCTTGACTAATATAGTATCTAAAGTCTTAGGCTCAATAATCATGCGTAGACTGAGTGGTGCTCGGGAAGCACAAACACGAGAGAGCCAGGCAGGCTTTAGACCAGGAAGAGGGTGTATTGATCATATCTTCACCCTCCGACAGATTCTAGAACATAGGCATTCCTACCGGCGTCCAACAGTCATTATATTTCTTGACCTAAAGGCAGCATTCGACTCTGTCGATCGGGAAGTTCTCTGGAGATGCTTGGCTGTAAAGGGAATTCCAAGAAAATATATTGCACTGATTAAGGCACTCTACTCGTACTCATACAGCCAGGTGAGGGCTTACGGCGAGCTGTCATCTGAACTGATGACGACCAGTGGTGTCCGTCAAGGATGCCCATTATCTCCTTTTCTATTC